GCGGGGCTCGAACTCACGGACCGCGAGATCGTGACCTGGCTGAAGTCAGACGCTTAACCGACTGCGCCACCCAGGCGCCCCTGGATATCCAAAATATAAAAGAAGATTGCACATGTGTCTCTACACACTAAAGACACAATACACAGCCTTAAAGAAGACTGTCCTTATCCTCTAGATTTTCAGACATTACTGATCATGACCAAAGCACTAATTCACTTTTCTAAATGCACAAAGCTGGTCTTTTTTTTTTTTTAAGTTTATTTTGAGAGAGAGAGAGAAAAAAAAAAAAAAAAAAAAACAAGTGGAGAAGGGGCAGAGAGAGAGGGTGACAGAGGATACTTACCTACAGGAAATATCCCAATGAGGGGCTCAAACTCACAAACCATGAGATCATGACCTGAGCCGAAGTCAGATGCTTAACCAACTGAATCATATAGTTAGTCTTTTAAACAAGACATTCAGTGATATTTTCAACTCTCTCATCAGTCTTAGGCAGCAAGGCTCATAAAATACCATAATGACTTACTTAAACATGTTCAAATTGAAATACATGAGACATGGCATGTTCTGGCCATCAGTCAAACAAGAAGGGAAATGCCCATTCCAGCCCCACTGCTGACCGCCATAAAAGCCCAAAGCCACCCTCTTTTTCCTGTTCTCTCAATGTACTTTTGGACCACCTTGGGAGTTGCTTTACTCTCCCCTGAGAGTGTCATCATACTAATAATAAACCATTTTATAGCCTCTTGGTATATATGTAAGGCGATATGTCTTAACACCCAAACCTAACTTTGGGGTGGGGAGAGACATGCTGACTCTCAGATTGGCTGAAACAATTAAGGAAGAAACAATACTAATTTTACCCAAACTCTTCCAGAAAACTGAAAAAGGAACACAACCCAATTCATTCTGAGATAAGAATTTCACTGATAGCAATTGAAGAAAGAAAAAAAAAAAAAAAAAACTCAAGAAAATTACAGAACGATGATCCTCATGGACAGAGATATAAAATATTAAACCAAAATTCAAACAAACAAAATATAAAATATATAAAAGAAAAATACAGGGGTGCCTGGGTGGCTCATTCAGTTATGTGTCTGACTTCGGCTCAGGTCATGATCTCACAGTGAGTTCCAGCTGTGCGTCAGGCTCTGAGCTGTCAGCACTGGAGCCTGCTTCAGATTCTGTGTCTCCCTCTCTCTGTGTCCCTCCCCTGCTTGCCTCTCTCTCTCTCTCTCTCTCTCTTTCTCTCTCTCTCTCTCTCTGTGTATTTATATATAAAATATATTTTGACCAAATGGAATTCGATCCCAGACTACAAGCTTAACTTAACATTTGAAAATCTATTACTGACATTCATCATTTTAACAGAATAAATAAAAAAATCATATTCATACTAATACATGTAGCAAAAGTATAAAATTACACTTCATCAAAGTAAAAATTGTGCTCTACAAAAAGCACTCCTGAGACAATGAAAAGATAAGTCACGAACTGGGAAAGAATATTTGCAGGGCTTATATCTGGTATTTTACCAGATATAGATAGATAGATAGATAGATAGATAGATAGATAGATAGATCTATATATATCCAAAATATATATCCAAGATATATATATATATCCAAAATATATATCAAGAGCACTGAAGACTCAATAATAACAAAACAAATGAACCAATGTAAAAATGGGCGAAATTTGACAAACACTTCACCAGTGAAGATATATAGTTGACAAATAAACACATGAAGAAAGGCTTAGCATCATTACTAACAAAGGAAATGCATGTAAACACCGCAATGAAATACAACTAAATACCTACACAAGGAAGGATAAAAGTAAAAAGGCTAACCAAGTACTGACAAGGGTGTGGTGTACATGAAACTTGCAGTCACTTCTGGTGAGATGCAGAATGTTACAGCAATTTTGGAAACCAGTTTGGCCATTTCTTAAAAACTTAAACAGCACCTAACCTATGGTTCAGTCACTGCTCTCCTACCAGTTAATTCAAAGAAAAGACAGTACCTGTTCATACATAGGCATGCACACAAATCTACACAGCAGGTGTATTAACAATAGCTCAAAACTGGAGACAACACTAATGCCCAGCAACAGCAACTAAATAAATGTATTGTGTTAGTACACACATAGAACATTATTCAGCAAGAAAATGGAATGAACTACTCACACACACACTACGAATGCATCCAAAAATATTTATGCTGAGTACAATAAACTAAAATATAACACTAGATAATTATGATTCCCCTGATATAAAATCTACATGATGTAATCTAACACATAGGGACATATTAGGGATTGACTGGCAATGGGAATAGAAAGGTGGGAGGCCCCAGAGGGGAGATTGCAAAAGGGCATTAAAAATCTTCTGGTGGGGGAACAAATATATTTGTCATCTTGATTATGTTGATGGTTTCATAGGTACATGTACAGATATATCAAATAATATATTTTAAATATATCCAGTTTATTATATGCCAATATTACTTCAATAGAATGGTTTAAATAATGAATATAAGCAACTTCAGTCTGTGGCTACAAGAAAGTGATAGGGCCATATGGAAATTCTTCCTTTAAACAACTAAAGAAAACCAGACCAAATATATGCTAAAATGGTTTTTTAGACGTTAGACACCAGGTGGCACAGGACATTCATGGATGGCTGAAGGAAGCTTCCAAGATACATCTTATGGAGGAGGCACCCACACCTGGCCTGGACATCTCCCTGAGTGCAGCACAGCAGATTAGGGGAAGGACATGGCAGCTGGTATTCACAGGCCAGAATACCAGAAAACCAAAAGAGAGCTGTAGGGAAAGTTTGGGGTTGGAGTGTTCCTAAGAACAGTTCAGTTCAAATGTGAGGAAACTACCCAAGGCACAATAAAGAATGAAATAGAACAATACTCAGAGGTTTACAGAGCCTATTTTCAAGCCACTACTCAGGGCCTTGAGAGTTAATGAAGATCTAAAGGAAGTTCCCCAATCAACTAGATGAAGGTGCATTTTTACCTAACTCCTATAACTTTCTCTCTGTTGGTTCTGAAATTCAGAGGGAAAGGTGGTTGTGTTTTGTTAAACTCTATAAACCCTTGAAATGAGAAATTGACCCCACCTTGATAACAGCAGACTAAGATCCTGGGTTTTTTAGCTCCCAGGGGTAAGGTGAGCACTACTAGATAGATAAAGGGAGAAGACCTTCAGTCCATTCAAAAGTCTGAATTCCAAGACAGAGCTTCCTTGCATTAGCGATTGACACGTTCTTCTACCTCCTTACCCAAAGAAAGCAGAACCTAACTGGTTGAAAAGGATGGAATTATCTGGTCATGGCAATGTCCCTCCAGGCATAACTTCTCATGAGTGCAAGCAAGTCCCTCAGAATCAATGATGTAACTGCACAGTCCCCCCAGAAAAAAAGAAGAACTGTCATGTGGAGAATGTCTATGTGGTGGATAGAAAGGTATAGCAAGCTCACTTAGGAAAAGGAAAATCCTGTGTAGGCTGGCATCTTACACTTGTGACTTCAGTTATTGATCAGAACAACCCCCATGTAAGCATTAGAAATGGTTTCTACTTCAGTATTTCTGAAGTCATTTATTTAGTAAAGTTGTAAATAAAAACTCTATAAGGAAGTTATCCAAACAAGTAGTTAATACACGTTCAAAAGTTTCAATACTGAGTATTGAATCAGGTCAACAAAAATAATCCAATCACGTGTTTCCTTATTTGCAGACCTCTGCAAAGGTACTGCTGTAGTGAAAAATAAATAATCCATTTCAAAACCTCCAGAATTTCCAGTAAATGGTAAATATTGCAAGAAACTCTGGACTCTTAAAACTTGGAACCAAAAATAAAACTAAGGGAACCCATGAGTCCCCCGAATTGTTGGTAGTTCTGAGTGTGGGTCTGTTTGTTAAAGAGGTAGAGGGTCTAAAGCTTTTAGCAGTTCCTCATTCTCGGAAACCACCCAAATGATCATGTGTTACAACTACCATGGTTGGCAGTCAAGGCAAATACACAATCAGACTGACAATTAAGGCAGATACAAAGGGACATATATGGAAAAGATATTCAGTGAACAATATAGAACCCAGCCTAAAAGGTGATTACACAATAACAGTCTTAAGTTCATCTTCAGAATTCCATACTTGCTCAGACTTGATTTTCATAAAAAAATGCTTAATTTTGGATTTTTTTAAGCTAAAGCTGTAGCAATTCCAAATGAGAAAATCAGAGCTTTAAGTTCCAGATCCACCCAACTCTATTATTAAATTGCTGTGTGAACTTGAACAAATCTTTGCAGTTCTCTGGGCCTCTGTGTCCTTGTCTGTCAACAGAATCGTTGACAAGATTGATGAGCTTCATCTTAGCTAAAATTCTTTGCATTCAGTGACTCATGAACTTGTGACATCACTATGCACAACTCATAGGCAGCCAGTAACTTCTCATGAATACAGGATCATCTCACTGATAGATTTGATCCTAAGACATGAATAAAAGACATCCTTTTAAAAGCTTTCTTAAATATCAGGCCTCAGAACAGGGTTAGAAAGTAACCTATGAAACAGAAAAAGCAGCTGTCCTTACATAATAGAAGCTATAAATTTGGCTGAAGACATCTGTTTAAACAAGTTAAAACCATACCACAGAGTAGTAGTTATCAAACTGATCAATAAATAATAATGTACAGAGGCCTGCCTGAGTTGAAGTGACACCTAGCTAAAGGGGTAAAACATGGAGATACAGCATGTGGAGGCCAGACGTACAGAACTTAATATGATAGTCAGCAGGTATCATAAACATACACACACACACACGTTTTTCCCATTCTGTCAATACAACTAGATCCAGAAAGATTATGTGCTTCACAGTACTATACAAAACACATTGTCTCTCTGGGATAAAATAATTCAGTGATTACTAAAAAACATACCTGGGATTAAAAACTCTTCTCCGTAAAAAAGCATAGTGACATTATGACCATGATCTTGAAGAATCTCAGATACACGGTCCAGTAGTAGATAATGGCTTCCACCTAGGAACAACACAAAATTTCATTTTTGTAAAGCTGTGAACAGAGGCTCTGAAATTGATGTGGCAGTTGGGAAATCCATGGTAAGGGGGCAGGAAGTTGATGGTGAGCACAGGAAGATGAGTTTCTTCAGCCCCACTGTCTCACTTAAGGTAAGCCCCAGCTAAGGGCTTCCCAAATTTTGACCTGTGGTAATCCTCCATCAAAAATTTCCTTGTGGCTCATGGCCTCCATGTCAGTGTGATGAACTTCTCTGCTTAGGCCTCAAGTAGTTCCTGATCCTAGCGACATGCTCATTTTAGCCAGGCCTTGTGGAGATACCATGTCCTGAAGAAATAACTGTACTGGTGGAAATTAGGCACACTGCTATAAATGGAAGTGGGAAGGGTTCCTGATAATCAGTCAGCACTCTTTATGGAATCATTCTCCATGTAAATTCATGTTAGAGGGGGAATTAGAAACATGGAATATTGAATATTAGTCCAAGAAATTAAAGCAGAAGGAGGTAGATCCACCACTTAGAAACAAAATCCTTAAGGGGCATCTGGGTGGCTCAATAGGTTAAGCGTCTGACTTCAGCTCAGGTCATGATCTCACAGCTTGTGAGTTCGAGCCCTGCGTCGGGCTCTGTGCTGACAGCTCGAAGCCTGGAGCCTGAATCTGATTCTGTGTCTCCCTATCTCTCTGCTCCTCCCCTGTTCACACTCTCTCTCTCTCAAAAATAAATAAACATTAAAAAAAATTTTTAAATGAAACAAAATCCTTGAGATTCAAATATATTTAGCAGGATTCCAAGTTTCCAGTTAGGCCTAAAAATTTCTGAACATGAAATTAAGGCATTCAGGATAACTGTGGTCATTAGGGCATAACTGTAAGATCCTGCACATGACAGAGTTAGGCATCACCTATCCTAAGAAAATCGTGAGATTCTAAGGAAAGAGAAGCTTACTCCTAGGGGAAGTACTGGTTCTATCTTGCAATGATTGTCTAAAACTATGCACCATCAAGGAGCATTTCTCTTGAATCTATGGGTCTCAGAGCAGGGAATGTCCAATTAGGAAAAAAAGAATAGAATTGGCCCACATTGGAAAGAGGGGTACTTTGGAAGATAACGACTTTGTAGTGATTAGGTCAGCAGAGTGGGATGTATGACTACAGTAATGGTGTGTGGGAATTACTCTAATTTTTAATTTGTGTTTGTGTTTCCTGAGGTAACACAGATTACATAAAATACAAACCCTTACCCCCTCAGACTGCTTGCTCTAGCTTACCTTTAACCTATGTAAGAAACGGATGCAGGGAGAGGAGAGTTAAGATGGCAGAGAAGTAGGAGGGCCTTGCCACTCAAACACAGCTGTGTTGATGTCAGATCACTTAGAACACCCAGGAAATTGAACTGCAGAGCAGCCAAATGATCTCCACATTTGGAGGGATACAGCTTGGCAGGACTGAGGTGGATATATGTGATTTTAGGGATATATAGTGGCAGAGCATAGAGGAGAGAGAACCCCTTCTGTGGAGAGACAAAAGGGAGAGAAAGAGAAAGGGATTATGAAAGTGCAGCATGGAGTTAGGACAAGAGCAAGCTTCTCTGGACTATGGACTTGGGAGCAAGAAGTACTGAGTGTCCCAACTCTTTGTTTGCAACAGCCTTGGAATTGAAACTCAGAGTTTTCAGAAGTGTGCAACTTTATCCAGACTGGATCCCTGGCTCATGCTCCTGGCGAGGAAGCAGCCACCCCAGGGTGCATAGTGTGGTGTAGCAATCTCTGGGGTGCCCTGGGAGAGAAAAATTCTCTTCTCAGAGTACTTTGAGATGAAGGGTTTTTGTCTCCCCAAGGACAAAAGACCCTGCAGGTGCCAGCCAAAGGCCTTTCATCAGCAGTGGGGAGAGGCTTTACTCTGGAGGTGGGGAGCATTGCTGTACGGTGCTGGGTCCTTTAAGACTTCAGATTTTGAATCCAGCTGAGCGCCAAGAAGGTGCAGAACTGTGGAGCAGGGCAAGCTGACTGCATTCTCTATTCTGTGAGGGCTGCCTGATAAGATAGGGTTGAGATCCCTAGTCCAGGGTTGAGAGATTGGAGTGATGTCATTTTCTCCCCAACACCAACGCAGTGGGACATTGGAGAGCAACACAGTGGCTCCCAGTGGAGGCAGGACTGATTACACCTAAACCCTCCCCTCCATGCCTGGAAACTGATTATTTACTGGAGCAAGACTGGCTGACCCATCGCAGCCAGTCTCTCCTCCAGAACAGCACAGCCACCAGCCCCAGGCGCCAACAGACTTTTTTTTTTTTCTCTCTCTCTTTCTTTCCTCCTTCTTCTTTTTTCTTTTTTTTCTCTTGGAATCAGGCTCATGGTTTCTGATTTTTTTGTCATTTCTTACTATATATATATATATATATATATATATATATATACACAAACACACATACACACACATATATATACACACACATATGTATATGTATATGTATATCAATATATCTATATCTATATATAGATAGATATACATATATAGAGAGATATATTGATGTACATATACATTTATATATGTATATGTATATCAGACTTTATTCTCTTTTTGTTTCATCTTTTCTCTTTTATTCTACTTTTTTCTTTATTTTTTCCTACTCTTTCTTTGGAATCAGGCTTATAGTTTTCTGGGGTTTTTTTTTTATTCTTTTTGGTTTTCTGTTCTCCACTTTCCTTTTTCTCTTTTTATGGGATCAGGTTTCCCCCATCATTTTTTTCCTAGGGTTACCTCAACAAACAAATCAAAGCACACCTAGTTGAAGCAAGGAGGAGCTCTGCAAAGGATTGACCAGTGGGATAGAGCAGCCAAAACGCAACAGCAGAGTGCCTTCAACATACACCAGAAACACTTCCTGGAGTGCCAGGCCCTGGACAGTGTATGACTCCTTTTTAATATAGTAGTACTCTCAGATGCAGGACACATGACAGGCTTTTAAAAAATGCAAACGAGAGAAACTTAAGCAAAGTGACAAGCCAGAGGAATTCTCCCCATAAGAAAGGTTGAGAAGAAATCACAGCCAGAGACTTGCTCAAAACAGATATAAAAAATATATCTGAACAAAATTTAGAAAAATAGTCATAAGACTGATAGCTAGGCTTGAAGAAAAGCATAGAAGACACCAGAGAAACGCTTGCCACAGAGATCAAAGACCAAAGAACTGTCAGGATGAATTTTAAAAATGCAATATGGAGATGTGAAATAACTAGATATAGTGACAGTGAGGATTGAAGAAGCAGAGGAGAGAATAGGTGAAATAAAATATAAAACTATGGAAAATAATAAACCTGAAAAAAAGAGGGAGAGGAAAGTACTAAACCACAGGGGAGAATTAGAGATCTAAGTGATTCCATGAAACAAAACAATATCCATATCAGAGGAGTCCCAGAAAAAGAAGAGCAAAAAGGGGCAGAAGGTTTATTTGAACAAATTATAGCTGAGCACTTCCCTAATCTGGGGTAAAAAAACAGGCATCCAAGTCCAAGAGGCACAGAGAACTCCCTTCAAAATCAACAACAAAAAAAGGTCAACCCCACGACATATCATAGTGAAACTTGCAAAATACAAAGATAAAGAGAGAATTCTGAAAGCATCTAGGGACAAAATGTCCTTCACCTACAAAGGTAGACACATAATGTTCCACTGAAACTTAGCAGGCCAGAAGGGAATGGCAGGAAACATTTAATATGATGAATAAGAAAAATATGTAGCCAAGAATCCTTTATTCAGCAAAGCTGTCATTCAGAAAAGGAGAAATAAATAGCTTCCAAGCAAACATAAACTAAAGGAGTTTGTGACCACTAAACCAGTCCTGCAAGAAATTCTAAGAGGGACTCTGTGAGTGGAAAGCAGCAAAGACTACAAATGACCAGACAAAATCACCACAAACACAAAACCACATTGTGTTATCTACAGATAACACAATGGCACTAAATTCATATCTTTCAATAATCACTCTGAATGTAAATGGTCTAAATTCCCCAATCAAATGACATAGGGTATCAGAATAGATTAAAAAAATAAGACCCATCTATATGCTGCCTACAAGAGACCCATTTTAGACCTGAGGACATCTGCAGACTGAAAGTTAGGGGATGGAGAACCATCTATCATGCTACTGGATGTCAAAAGAAAGCTGGAGTAGCCATACTTATATCAGACAAACTAGACTTTAAAACAAAGACTGTAACAAGAGATGAAGGAGGGCATTATATGATAATTAAGGGGTCTGTCCATCAAGAAAAGCTAACAATTGTAAACATTTATGCCCCCAACTTGAAACTCCCAAATATATAAGTCAATTAATCACAAACATGAGTAAACTTATTGACAATAATGCCATAATTGTAAGAGACTTTAATACTCCACTTACAACAATGGATAGATTATCTAAGCAGAAAATCTACACGGGAACAATGGTCTTGAATGACACACTGGATCAGATGGACTTAACAGATATATTCAGAACACTTCATCCTAAAGCAACAGAATACACATTCTTCTTGGGTGCATATGGAACATTCTCCAGAATAGATCACATATTGGGTGACAAATCAGCCCTCAACATGTACAAAAGGATTGAGATCTTACCATGCATATTTTCAGATCATAACACTATGAAACTTGAAATCAAACACAAGAAAAAATTTGGAAAGCTCTCAAATACATTGAGGATAAAGAACATCCTGCTAAAGAATGAGTGGGTCAACCAGGAAGTTAAAGAAGAAATTTAAAAATACATGGAAACAAATGAAAATGAAAACATGACTGTCCAGACCCTTTGAGATGCATAAAAGGCAGTCCTAAGAGGAAAATACATTGCAATTCAGGCCTATCTCAAGCAGCAAGAAAGGTCCCAAATACACAACCAAACCTTACAACTAAAGGAGTTAGAAAAGGAGCAGCAAATTAAGTCGAAATCCAGCAGAAGAAGGGAAATAATAAAGACTAGAGCAGAATAAATGACT